TTTGGGCTCTCTCTTTGCTTAAAGGATCCCCTTTAATATTTCTTGCAGGGCAGGTTTAGTGGTCACAAATTATTTTATTTTATTTTTTTCATTACATCATGTGCCCTCCTTTATTAACATATAATGTATTATTTGTTTCATGAGTACAGGTCTGTGATTCATCAGTCTTACACAATACACAGTGCTCACCACAACATATACTCTCCCCAATGTCCATCACCTAGCCACCCTGTTCCCCCCAGCCCCCTCCGCTCGAGCAACCCTCAGTTTGTTTCCCGAGATTAAGAGTCTCATGTGGTTTCTCTCTCTCTCTGGTTTCATCTTATTTCATTTTTTCTTCTCTTCCCCTCTGATCTTCTGCTTGTTTCTCATATTCCACATATCAGTGAGATCATATGATAATTGCCTTTCTCTGACTTATTTTGCTTAGCATAATACCCTCTAGTTCTATTCACGTTGTTGGTATTTTTTTTGATGGCTGCGTAATATTCCATTGTATATATATACACCACATCTTTATCCATTCATCTGTCGATGGACATCTGGGTTCTTTCCATAGTTTGGCTATTGTGGACATTGTTGCTATAAACATTGGGGTGCAGGTGCCCCTTTGGATTACTACATTTGTATCTTTGGGGTAAATCCCTAGTAGTGCAATTGCTGGGTCATAGGGTAGTTCTGTTTTCAGCTTTTTGAGGAATCTCCGTACTGTTTTCCTAAGTGGCTGCACCAGCTTGCATTCCCACACAAATTCTTTTAGTTTCTGTTTGTCCTGGAAGCTTTTTATCTCTCTTTCTATTTTGAATGACTCCTAGCTGGATAAAGTATTCTTGGATGCATATTTTTCTCATTTAGCACCCTGAGTATATCATGCCAGTCCTTTCTGGCCTGGCACATCTCTGTGGATAGGTCTGCTGCCAGTCTGATGTTTCTACCCTTGTAGGTTCTTGTCCTAAGCTGCTTTCAGGATTTTCTCTTTGTCTCTGAGATTTGCATGTTTCACTATTATATGTCAGGGTGTTGAGCTATTTTTATTGATGTTGAGGGGGGTTCTCGGTGCCTCCTGGAGTTGAATGCCTGTTTCCTTCCCCAGGTTAGGGAAGTTCTCTGCTATAATTTTTTCCAATATACCTCCTACCCCCTCCTTTTCTCTTCTTCTGGGATCCCAATTCTAGTATTATTTTGCTTTATGGTATCACTTATCTCTCGAATTCTACCTTCATGATCCAGTAGTTGTTTATCTTTTTCTCAGCTTCTTTATTCTCCATCATTTGGTCTTCTATATCACTAATTCTTCTGCCTCATTTATCCTAGCAGTTAGAGCCTCCATTTTTTATTGCATCTCATTAATAGCCTTTTTGATTTTGACTTGATTAGATTTTAGTTCTTTTGTTTCTCCAGAAAGGGATTCTCTGTGTCTTCTATGCTTTTTCCAAGCCCAGGTAGTATCTTTTTTTTTTGTTGTTGTTGTTAAAGATTTTATTTATTTGACAGAGAGAGACATGGCGAGAGAGGGAACACAAGCAGGGGGAGCGGGAGAGGGAGAAGCAGACTTCCTGTGGGATAGGGAGCCCAATGCGGGGCTCGATCCCAGGACCCTGGGGTCATGACCTGTGCCGAAGGCAGATGCTTAATGACTGAGCCACCCAGGCGCCCCCCAGGTGGTATCTTTATAATCATTATTCTGAACTCTAGTTCTGACATCTTACTTATATCTGTACCGATTAGGTCCCTGGCAGTCAGTACTGCCTCTTGTTCTCTTTTTTGAGGTGAGTTTTTTCCATCTTATCATTCTGTCTTGTAGAAAGTGGACTCATTTCTATTTGTAGAGTTGCAGCTATTCTTTTTTTAGATCTCTGGTTGAGTTTGCAGGTGTTCAGAATGATATGATAGCTATCTAGCTGAATTCCTGGGACCAGACGAAACTAAGGTCTCCTACTCCTCCACCGTCTTGGACTATCTCTTGCTTTTTTTTTTTTTTTTTTTAATGTATGCCTTTACAGCTGTAAATTTCCCTTTAGCACTGCTTTTGGCATCCCATAAGTTCTGGTATTTTGTATCTTCATATTCATTTGTGTCAAAGTTTTTTTTATTTTCCCTTGTTTGACCTATTGGTTTTTTAAAGAGTGTGGTGTTTAATTTCCATATATTTGTGGAAATTTCCAGTTTTTTCTGTGCTCTTGATTTCTGGTTTCATTCCATTGTGATTGGAAAAGACACTGTATGTCAGTCTTCTTGAGTTTGTTAAGACTTTTGTGGCCTAACATGTTCTAGCCTAAAGAATGTTCCATATGTACTTGAAAAAAATGTATATTCTGCTGTGTTTAGGTGGATTGTTCTGTATATATGTGTTAGGTCCAGTTGTTGTATAGTGTTATTCAGTTCCTCTATTTTCTTATTGTTCTTCTGTATGGTAGTTTTATGCATTATTGAAAGTTAGGTATGGAAGTCTTTTAATATATTGTGTTGCTGTGTATTTTTTCTCCAAGTCTTTTCTTTTTTTTAGAGATTTTATTTATTATTTGACAGAGACACAGCGAGAGAGGGAACACAAGCAGCGGGAGTGGGAGAGGGAGAAGCAGGCCTCCCGCGGAGCAGGGAGCCCGATGTGGCGCTTGATCCCATGACCCTGGGATCATGACCTGAGCCGAAGGCAGACGCCTAGCGACTGAGCCACCCAGGCGCCCCTCTCCAAGTCTTCAAAAATTTGCCTCATTGATTTGGGAGCTCTGGGGTTGTGTGCATAAATAGTTGTAATTGCTTTATCTTCTTGGTGATTTGACCCTTTTATGATTTTAATCTTTTTCGTCTGAATTTGTAATAGGTACTCCTGTGCCCTTTTGGTTACTATTTGCATGGAATATCCTTTTCCATCCTTTTACTTTCAGCCTATATGTGTCCTTAGATCTTAAGTGTTTATCTCATAGGCAGCTTATATTTGGAAGACTACTAACCTTTAATATTAAAAACTTATTCTGGGAAGGGCTCTTTCAAACTGTTAATTTATACCAAAAAACATTTAATCTCAGATGAAGAGCTGAAGACACCTGCTTAGTTTTGAAGCATTAATCTTAAGAATCTTCAATTATTTGGGTTATATTCAGAGGCAATAGTGGGAAAGTTGATCAAACATATAGGAATGTGTTAGAAATTAGTTTTCTTGATGACGTCTAAACAGATAGGTGATAAAAATAGGAAGTCTGGGGAATGGATTTCTTTTAACATTTAATTTTAATAAGAGGTTTTCTTTTAACATTTAATTTTAATTTTCAGGTTTTCTTTAAACTGATAAAAGTGAGGGGTAATGTTCGTTTTATCATACATTGGGTTAGTTCTCAAAGTGCTAGTTTCTTAATATTTTATCATTCATTAGTTTCCTATAGATATTCTAATGAATTGAACTCTCTTTTTTTTATAAGCTGTTGTGAAGCAGCTCTTTTCAAAGGCAAGACCCCTTGGTCCACAACCAGCATTATTTAGCTGCAGTGACTAGCCATTTTGAACATTTATGTTGGCGTTCTTTCCTGGAGGGCTCAAAGAAGGCTGTGCCAGAACATTGGCTGTATTTTTACATATTTAAGGATTTCAGATTGCCGGACTGCATTTGAAAAACGTCTTGGAAGAATTGATATCTTAGAAATCTCTTTAGTTATTGAATAGATTTTAAATAAGCTGGCCTTTCTGTGACCAAAAACATATTTTTATAAGTTCCCTCTGTAAAAATGTTTTGTTAGTGTAGTAACAGTGTTTTAAATCTGGAAAAAATCTGATGGCCTTGGATTTCCTTCAGAGGCTCTTTCACATTTGTGGTTATTAATATTTTGTTAGCATTCGTCTTTTCTTGGCTTTAACTGCCTGTTTTACTTTTATAACTTCCCTTTTAATGGACATTGTGGGTTTATATCTTTGAGGATCTGAGATACTCATTTTAAAGTTTTTTGAAAGTATAGTTTGTAATTGCATTTCTAGTAGGAGTGTTTTTTTGTTTTCTCTTTTGATGTATCCTTCACTACCTGGTGTTTTGTGGTTGTCTTTACTTTGCTCCTTGTGGCTGCTTTTTTAAAAAAGAGGTCTTATATTGAAGCTTTGGATTTTTATTATCCAGGAATATTGGAGAAAATCTCAGGAACCAGTCCCTGAACCAGTGGGTGACTTGACCCAGCTCATTTTTGTTTGATTGCCTTGGATCTTTTCCATTTGCATTGCTTCAGCCTTGAGCTGTAGTCACAGCTTTTATTGCTGCCTTTCACAGTTGAGGGAGCCCTGCTCCAACCCCTGACCTCACAGAATGAGCCTGATGTTTGTTCCCACTGTCCCCACTATGAGTTGATTTTAGTCCCTATTATTAGAGTTCATTTCTTAGGTGTCTCAAATAGTAAGATTTTAAAATAAGTAACTTGCTTTTTTCTGCTTGCTTTTATTTCTTGAGGTTAAGGAACTGCCATGGTTTATTGGAAAGTACGTTGAGTTCTAACTGGATAACCTTAAGACTCTTTTAATTTTTTTAAAGATTTATTTATTTGAGAGAGAGAGAGAGAGAGCATGCATGCACGAGGGCAACCTGAGGGGTGGGCAGAGGGAGAGAGAGAATCCCAAGCAGACCCTGCACTAAGCACAGAGCCTTACACCAGACTGGATCTTACGACCCCGAGGTCATGACCTGAGCTGAAAGGAAGAGTCGGATTCTTAACCAACTGAGTCACCCAGGCGCTCCTGTTTTTTTATTTTTAAGTGAAGGTAGAAATTTGGAAAGTGGTTGTGGAGTTGAAATGTTATATATATATTTGGGCAGTGGTTATGGAGTTGAAATGTTTTATATATATATACATATATATGTATGTATATATTTATGAAAGTGTATGTGTATATATATGTATGTAAATATTTATGAAAGTGCTTTAGAATCTGAGAAGTATAAGCTAAAGTTTAGATTTTGTTTATTATTATTTAATAACAGTGATTTTGTTACTACTCTATTTAAATCTGCTTTTGATTTTCAGATTGTTCCATTGACCTGTCATGTATGGCAACAGCCACTATATCAAGGCAATAGTGGGACACAGATTTCTGATACTGCTGTGGTCTCTGTGGAAAAAACAGCTCGGTGGAGGTCTAAGGCTGATCAGGTCTGTCTTGTGTAACTGGCAAACTATTTTTCTTTTCATAAGCAGCATGAGAAATTCTGATTTAGCTGTTAAGAATAGTAAGAGGTGAATTACTTTAATATTCCATTTTTCTAATAGATCTTTAACAATTTTAATTATAGAGAATAATTAAGTGTTTCTTTTTTGTCTCAGGACTCCTTTACATTCTTCATAGGTATTTTAAGCATTTTTTGTTCATATGGATTATCTATATTGATATTTAGTTTACTAGAAATTAAAAATTTAAAAATATTAAAATAATAAACCCATTATATATTAGCATAAATAATGTATTTTTAAAATGAAAACTATTTTCCAAGACAAAAAAATTAGTTGAAAGAGTGGCATTGTTTTACATTTTTGCGTCTCTCTTTAATGTCAGGCATAATAAAAGATGGTATATTAGACAGGGTTCTCCAGAAAAACAGAACCAATAGGAGACTTACACACACACACACACACACACAAAATAAGGAATTTGCTCTTGTGATAGCTGAGAATTCTAAGATCTGCAACCTGGAGACCCAGGAGAGCTGATAGTATAGTATAGTCATAGTCTGAATCCAAAGGCCTGAGAACCAGGAGAACTAACTGGTGTAAGTTCTATTCTGAATCCAAGTCTAAAGGCAGGAGAAGACCTATGTGCCAGCCTTAAGACCATCAGGCAGAGAGAGTGAATTCTGTTTTGCTCAGCCTTTTGTTCCATTCAGGCCTTTAATGGATTAGATGAGTCTTGCCCACAGTGGAAAGGACAATCTGTTTTACTCAGTCTGTGGATCAAATGTTAATCAGATGTTAATCTAGACATACAGAATAATGTTTAACCAAATATCTGGGCACCTGGTGGCTCAGCCAAGTTGACACATAAAATTAACCATCACAATTGGATTCTCATATCTGCTTCTGCATTTAGTCTGTTGGGATACATTGAAGTATTGGAAAAAAAATCTGGCCTTACTTAGATACATAGAAAAGGGAGCTGCACATAGATTTCCTGGAAGAGTGTCTGTGATTGCCAGGGATCTTTGGGCCACACTTTGAGAACCACTAGAGTATAGTCATAAATTTAGAAGAAATGGAAAACTTGTGAGCAGATAGGAGAGAAGCTTACATATGTTTGTTGGAGGAAAAATGTAGCCTTATTCATAATGGTTAAATATATAAGGTTGATTATCTAATAACTTGGTTATCAGATTTCTTCTGGTACCTTCAATTCCGCCTAAATTGCAGTGATTATCCATTTGATGCAAGATATGGAGGAAGGAAATTTGCTATCATCAAGGGAAAGAAAGGGGTTAAAAGAAACCTTGACCAGAAAGTGCATAGTACTCTGGGACCATTAAATGAAAGGGGGATTGCAATAGATTGAACTGTATGCCCCCAAATGTGTTAAAGTCCTAATCCCCAGTACTTTAGAATGTGTCCTTATTTAGAAATAGGGTGATTACAGGTATAACTAAGATGAAGTCATACTGTAGTATGGTAGGCCTTTAATCCAATATAACTGATATCCTCATAAGAGAGGAGAACAGCATGTGAGAGAGACACACACAGGAAGAAGTCAGCCTTGTGAAGACAGAGGCAGAGACTGGAGATATACTGCCACAAGCCAAGGAATGCCTGGGCTACCTGAGGGTAGAAGAGGTAAGGAAGGATCCTCCCCTAGAGGCTTTGGGTGGAGTGTGGCCCTGCCAACACCTTGATTCCAGACTTCTAGCCTCCAGACCTCTAGCCTGTGAGAAAATAAATTTCTGTTTTTGAGCCCCCCAATTTGTGTAACTTTGTTATGGCAGTCCTAGGAAATGAATATATGGATATATCCCCAAATAGTTTCATATTCTCTGAGGGCATATTTATGGTAGAGCATGGTCCAAAAATAGGTGTCTTCCTTTTTGTCCCTGTCTTATGATATATATGCCATGAAAAAAAATAAAATATATGTCATGGATAGATCCTGTAGCTCTTTATTTCTGCCTTTATGCCTGGGTTCCTCAGCGTAGCTGGAGCATTATGCCACTTTCTTATTTCCTCCCCTCTTTTCTCCTTGTTATTCTGTTCATTCATCTTTGTTGCTGTTGTCTGAGTTACCTCTCTTTATTCATTGAAAACTATAGCTTTTGTTATACTGTTCTCAGTTTCTTTCACTTCAGCTTATATTAACCATGTAGTGCCTAAAACACCTGGATCTTTGATCTAACCTTCACAGATCTTTTCCTCCATTTCTCCTCCTAAACTGCTACCCCTACTAGGTTACTCATCCCATGGTCACAGTCTAGACCATGTCACCTCCAGCAGCTTGCGTACAAATGTCTCATCCTCTCTTCCCCTCCAGCTACTGTTTGGTTTAATATTCTGCTCCCTGATAAATGAAATTTTCAAGAATTTTCTCTCTCCATTTCCTGCTATGTTAACCTCATTGATGTAGAATTTAAATACAACAATCCTCACTCTTTTAGGTATACAGTTTGATGAGCTTTGACAAATATATACAGTCATATAACCACTACCACATTTGAGATATACAAGATTGCCATGACCCCAGAAAAGTTCCCTTGTGCCTCACTATAATCAATCATCTCCCCATCCTTAGTCCCTGGCAACCACTGATCTGATTTTTGTCCTTATAGTTTTGCCCTTTCAGAATTAAAGTGTATAGGTTTTCAAATCTGGCTTCTTTCACTTAGCACGTGCTTTTGAGATTTATCCATATTGTTGTATGAATCAATAGTTGGTTCTTTTTAATTTTTTATTGCTGAGTAGTATTCCATACAGGTGAAGGTTTTTGGTAGAGAAATGGTTTCATTCTCTTGGTAAATAGTTAGGAATGAGATTGCTGGCTGATAAAGTAATTGTATATTTAATGTTATGAGAAAGTACTAAACTGTTTTCCAAAGTGGCTGTGCCATTTTGCCTTCCCTCATAATATATGAGAGTTCTAGTTGATTTGCATCCTTGCCAGTTCTTGGTATTGCCAGTTGTTTTGTTTTAAAATTTTTAGCCATTTTACACGTAGGAGTATTATGGTGTCTTATTGTGGTTTTACTATGCATTTTCCTAATGACTAATGATATTGTACATCTTTTTGTGTGCTTACTTGCCACCCATGTTTCTTCTTTAATGTAGGGTCTTTTAAAATCTCTTCCCCATTTTTAATGGCTTATTTATTCCGTTTGTTGAGTTTGGAAGTTCTTTATAAATTCTAGATGCAACTTTATCAAATGCGTATTTTGCAAGTATTTTTTTCCACTCTATGGTTTTTCTTTGAATTCTATGTATCGGGATGCCTGGGTGGCTCAGTTGGTTAAACGTCTGCCTTCAGCTTAAGTCATGATCCCAGGGTCCTGAGATTGAGCCCCACATTGGGCTTCCTGCTCAGTGGGGTGTCTGCTTCTCCCTCTGCCTGCCACTCCCCCTGCTTGTGCTCTCTCTCTGACAAATAAATGAATAAAATCTTAAAAAAAAAAAAACACATAAAAAATGAATTTTATGTATCTTTTGAAGAACAGAAGTTTGATTTTGATGAAGTTGGTGTATAGATTTTGGATTTTTTTTATGGTTTGTATTCTTGTGTTCTGAGAAATTTTTTCCTAATCCTATGCCAAAAAGATTTTATCCTATATATTTTTCTAGAACAAGGTTTCTCAACCTTGGCACTTTTGACATTTTGGGCTAGATAGTTCCTTATTGTGTGGAGCTGTCCTGTATGTTGTAGTGGTTAGCAGCCTCCTTGACCTTTCCCCACTAGATATCAGTAGTAATCCACCATGAAACATGTCTCCAAACATTGCCGAATGTCCTGTGGTGGAGGGAAAAGGGAGTGTGAAAATTTTACCCAGTTGCGAACCACTGTTTCTGAAGTTTTATAGTTCTAGTTTTACATTTATTATCTATAATCCATTTTGAGTTGGTTTTTGTATATGATGTGAAGTAAGGGTCCAGCTTTATTTTTTTACATATGAATATTTAATTGTCATTCCAACACCATTTGCTAAAAATACTATCTTTTTGTCTAGTGCTTCCTTGGCATCTTTATCAAAAACAGATTGACTGTATATGTGTTGGTCTATTTCTGGACTCTATTCCATTGATTTATATGTCTGTCATGCCAATCCCACACTCTTAATTACTATACTGTCTTGAAATCAGGTAGTGTGAGTTCTCACACTTTGTTCCTCTTTTGAAAAATGGTTTTGTTTATGTTAGATTCTTTTAATTTCTGTACAAATGTTAGAATCAACTTGTCTATTAAAAAAGCCTGCTGGAATTTTTATTAAGATTGCCTTGAGTCTATACATCAATTTGGAGAGAATTGACATCTTAATAATATTTGAGTTCTCTAATCCACAAACACAACGGTTCTTTCAGTTTCATTTAGGTGTTTAATTTTTTCATCAGTGTTTTGTTGTCTTCGGTGTACCAAACTTAACACATTTGTGTTAGACTGACCTTTTTCTTTTATTTAAAAAACATTGCTTTTATTAAGGTATAATTAATTTTATTGATGTTTTTAAAAATTTCAATTTCCTATTGATTGTAAGTATATGAAGATATAAATGACTATATTGAACTTGTATCCTGTGACCTTGCTAATCACATTTACTGGTTTTAGGAGTAGCTCTTTTGTAGATTTTTTTAGGACTTTTTTATTTTTATTTTTTGAGAGAGGGAGAGAGAGCAGAGAGGGGCAGAAGGAGAGAGAGAATCCCAAACAGGCTCCACACCCAGCAGAGAGTCTGCTGGGGCTCGATCACATGACCCTGAGATCATGACCTGAACTGAAATCAAGAGTCAGACGCCTCATCAGCTGAGTCACCCAGGCGCCCCTAGGACTTTCTAAGTAGACAATTATATCAACTGTATTTTTTTCCTTTTTAATATATGTACCTTATATCACTGGTTAGGATCTACTTATTATTTTACTTAATCTACTTTGTGTTCTGACCTCAACTCTGTGAAAGCAAGTTTTGCCAACATTTGTACAGCTGAATACAGTGAGCACTTCTCTGTCCTCATTTTAACTGCAATAAATAGCTTTGACACTGTTAACCATTGCATAACTTCTTAAAATCATTTCCTTTCTTAGCTTCTACTAGTTTTCTTTCTACTTTTCTGCTATTCTTAGTTTCCTTTGCTGCTTTATCCCCCCCCCCCCCCCCCCCCCCGTTAAACTTTGAAATCAAAGGTTGCAAGCTGTGGGCCTGAATAATGGCCAAATGTGGTTTTCAGGGGAAAAAAAATTTTTTTTTGGCACAGTGTTTTTAAAGTTTTGAAATAGAATACTTTAAAGTGTGTATGCAGTGCGTATTTGGCCACAGGTCCCACCACTCTAATTCCAGGTGGATTTACTCACTTCTGTTACCTCCCTGGCCCTGTACACATTTGAGTTTTTGACTTCTGCTTGAAGTGTTGGGGTGTTTTATTTCTCATCTAGATCTGGGGGGTTAAATATATCTGTATACTTAAAAATCCAAATTTATATCTCTAATCTTTATTTCTCCCTCAAAATGTGTTTATGTCAAAAACATTAGAGATTTGAGGGCCTTTTTATATTGATTAAAAGGCATAACACAAGCAACCATTGTTTGATAGAAACAGCAACAAAATTATACAGAAACTTGTGACCAGCACTAGGTGTTGTATGTAAGTATTAAATCACTAAATGGTACACCTGAAACTAATATTACACTGTGTTAACTGAGATTTTTTTTTTTTATAATTTTATTTATTTATTCATGAGAGAGAGAGAGACAGAGAGAGAGAGGCAGAGGCAGAGAGAAAAGCAGGCTCCCCATGGAGCAAGGAGCCCAATGTGGGACTCGATCCCAGGACCCTGGGATCATGACCTGAGCTGAAGGCGGACGCCCAACCTACTGAGCCACCCAGGTGTCCCTGTTAACTGAGATTTAAATAAAAACTAAAAACTTTAAAAAAAAAGAAAAAAACCTCAAGAGAAGGAATGTTGAACAGGGATGTTTTATAACTTTATTTTATGATGGGAAATTATATTTCCATTATAAATATGTTTGCTTGGGGAGAGGAATGATTTAGTAGAGAGGGAAAATGGATGAAAGCAGGAGAATCATATAGGAAGGCAGTTGTTGAAAAGAATGGAATGAGATGGGAAGGCCTTTGGTAGGTACAGAGACTTTTTTAAGTCACAAGGTAAAAATGGGGTTGTAGATCTGGTGATAGAAAGATAAGGAAGTTCCATCTCCTGCTCTTCACTTAATTGAAGTAGGAGATGAGGTCATCAGTTGAAAATGAGGAAGGAGAGTTCAGTAGTTCTGAGGAGAGAAAGTGAAGTCATTTTAGCAAGTCAGTTTACCGGGAAAATGTAGTAGGATTTCTAGGCAATGCTGAGTGCCCTTGAGGTTTAATGTCATCAGTTTAAGGGAAAAAACATTTGGGTTTGTGCTTTACTCAGCGATGTGCTGGTGTTTAGATTCAGATAAGGAGAAGGTTCAACTAGAGAACTGAGCTTTTACCAGGCCAATAGGATAGTGGGAGAAAAGGGCAGGGAAGTTAAAGATGTTTGCAAGGCAGTGGTTATAAGGATGACTATGAACTTTCAGAGTGGTCAAGAGGGAAATACAGGAAAGAAAGGAATTATGAGAAGTGTTAATGTGATAGGATAATTGTCTTAATGAGGTTAAAGAATTACTGAAGTTGAGCTAGAGTAGTGATCTGATGAGGCCAGAGGATGGGCAGGAGAGCCAACAGATACCTGTCTCTTTGGAGTGAGGAATAAACAATGGGACTAGGCTCAAACCATGCTCAAGGAGGCTGAGAGATGAGTTGGGGACTAGAGATTTTTCTGTAGTGAGAGTCACACAATGACTGGAATTCCCCTGCTTTAAAACACTTCTTTGGTTTGCTATGCTCTACAGAATCGAGTACTCTCAAAAGAAAAAATTTAAAACCAATCACCTTTCATTTCCAGGTATTAAAAACCTAAAAAACATGTTTCCAGCAGTGATTTTTATGCTCTAGGTTGGACTAATTTATCCAACATAGCAGGGATTGAGATATTTTGGAATGTCAAAGGTCTACTGTTCTGTAATCCCACAAGCTGTAGATTAGTAGTGTTATTGTTTTAGAATATTACTCCAGTTGTTCTTTTTTCTGCATATATTTATATAACTGATAATAGGTAGTGGATAGTTAACTTACTAAAAGAATATTTAATTAATGATTTTAAGTAATGGTAATTTTAACTAATAACTTCAAAGATGAAAGTGCTGAGAACATCATTCTAAATTATAATACATCTTTTTATAGATTTTGGGTTATTTGGGAATAAAAAATTTATATTCTCTTAAAACATTTGAATTGGTTAAGAAAGAAAAGTACAGTAATAGACTATTTACAAACAATGAAAATCAATAGGTTGGGGTGCCTGGGTGGCTCAGTCAGTCATCTGCCTTCGGCTCAGGTCATGATCTCAGGGTCCTGGGATCGAGCCCCACGTTGGGCTTTGCGCTTGGTGGGGAGTCTGCTTCTCCCTTTCCCTCTGCCCCTCCCCCTGCTCATGCTCATTCTCTCTCTCTCTCTTTCTCTCAAATAAAATCTTAAACAAATATGGGATAAAGTTATGGAATAAGGTTAGAAAACAAAGCAAGGCATTCGAAAATCCTGATTAATCTTAAGACTATATGTGAGTGGAAACGTTAAAGAGTGTGCTCGTAAATATGATTAAAAGTCTAATCTGCCACTGCCAAGTAAGGAATGTTGCACTGGAAAGAAATTTATTACAATACATTATCAGACTTAATTGGGGAAAAAAGATACTGCATTATAGTTTGATCAAATTTAGAGTTCATTCCTAATCAAATTAATTAAATACGAAAATAAAAGTGTACTTTCATAGCATGATAAGAAGAATATCTTTACTAACCAATACCAAATTTAAAAGAAAAATGCCGATAAAATTGTTTACCATTAGTCTTTTTTTTTATTTAAATTCAATTAGCCAACATATAGAACATCATTAGTTTCAGATAGTCTTTAATTCAACATTGCTACTTAGCGTGGTCTGTGGATTGGTGCCAGTTCATGAACTGGTTGTCAAGAGATAAGTACAAGAATATAGAACTATTTAGAAACTTTTATAAATTTGACAGAGTAATTTTGTTTTTTAGAACTAAAAATCAGACATTTGGCTTTGTGTTTTATATTTTGGGCTTATATATCTTTTAAATTTAATTTTCTAGTTTTTATTTTTTATTAGTTGGTTTATTATTTTTACAGACTTATTGATTACTAATTTTTATTAGTATTTTAATAAAATGTTAGAATTGGAAGTAGGAAAAATTGTTTTTTCCCATAGATAGCTTGAGAAGCTTTGCTCTGAATCTTGCCACTAATGTAAGCGTAAACATTTTGTATCATTATTCATGAATGATGTGATAATCTTACATAATGAGAAGAGCCAAGAGTCCACTAGAAACCAGTATTGCTAATTAAGAATTCAGTAAAGTGGTCACATGTAGAGCATCTTATAGCTTTAGGTTTGGAAAATCTTTTTCAGTCTTGTAATCAAATTGTAAGATTTCATCATGTAGAACCAAATGTATTGTTATAGTGAAGAGAACTGTTAATGAATAGCAGAAATGCTAGTGATATCTCACATTAAAAGATGGGTAGTGATGAGAAGAGGTCTAAAATGTAGTTAATATTGCAAAAAACATACAGAAAGAACAGTTTTACTTTCTCCAAAAACACCATGATGAGAATGTTATCATATAGAAGCTAAATGCTACATGAGTGGATGGATATTTAAATTTTTTTTTTTTTATTTATTTGCGAGAGAGAGAATGAGAGACAGAGAGCATAAGAGGGAGGAGGGTCAGAGGGAGAAGCAGACTCCCTGCTGAGCAGGGAGCCTGATGTGGGACTCGATCCCAGGACTCCAGGATCATGACCTGAGCCGAAGGCAGTCGCTTAACCAACTGAGCCACCCAGGCGCCCGAGTGGATGGATATTTAAATCTAAATATTAATGTATATGGTAACTCAGTTAATGACTTAGCATATTTTCCTTCAAAATTATTGTTTTAGGGAACAGAATCTTGGCATTATCTGCCTCAAGAAATGGACTCTTCCCACACCTTGGATATAACCCAGACCAGGTTTAATATGAGAGAGGAAGGGACCGAAGTGACAGACTTCACCTCTGTGGAGGAAGGTATATTGACCCAACCAGAAAATCAAGTAAAGGAAGCCAAAAGAGGTCTCTTATGTTCGCCGCTGCTAGGTAATGCCTCTTTATTTTTAACTAGTAGTAATAACTCATACTCGTAAAATACTTTTCGGGGACTTTAGGTCTTGCATCTAAATCTCTTCCTTCTCTTTCTTTTCTTTTCTCTTCCTTCCTTCCTTCCTTTAAAGATTATTTATTTATTTTAGAGAGAGAGCACGTGAGCGATCAGGGGGTGGGGAGAAGCAGAGGGAAGAGGGAGAGAGAATCTGAAGCAGACTCCACAGTGATCGTGGAGCCCGACACAAGGCTCGATCTCTCCACTGAGCGATCATGACCTGAGTTGAAGCCAAAAGTCAGATGCTTAACTGACTGAGCAACCTAGGCGCCCCTAAATCCTTTCATGAGTTGAGGAGCTCTGTAGAGCCATCCTCAAAGGTATTAGCTTATTTCTGGTTTTCTACACTGGCCAGCTGGTCTGGTTATGTTAAATGTGCACCTGCCCTTCATTATGTCCTATTCCTCACAGAAGGCAGAAAGGTAATAACTTCCTCTCTAGTGAGTATACCTCCTCAGCTGTGAATTTGTGGATTTTTTCTTGGGGTAAACTATATATTATCCTTTGACAGCTTCTCTCAGCAATGGAGCCTCCATGATCCTTAAAAAAACAAAACAAATGTTTAAGCTTGCTTCATTAGATTCTTAGAATTAGTTAAGGCATGTTATTCTCAGTTTTCAGACCCCAAAAGTGAGATAAAGTGGTTGAATGACTTGTCTGAGGTAGATCTTACTGGTTTCCTCTGCTTAATATGGAACTGATTTAATAGCTCTTTACTAAAGGTAAACTTTTAAGTACCTCTCAGATTATCAGGGTAGGAAATAGAATTGTGCTATTACTACTTTGGATAGTGTGGATATAGAAGAGTGCTTAACCATTATGGTAATTTCAATTTTTTATGCCTAAATGATAATAAAGGCAATATTATTATTTTTTTTGACACATTTAACCATGTATTTAATGATACAGCATAGTGGTACAACTAGTCCTGGAAAAGGTACAAATGTAGACAGTACAAAGTACTCTACAGCTTCCCAAGAGCAATCGCACTGTTTCATTTTTCTTTTGTTTTTCAAACTAAAGATCACAAAGCAACTTAAATAGCCCTAAGTGTCCCTGAAGAGCTACTGTGTGTTGTATAAAGGCTGAGTAATCCCGGCAGTGTCAAGGGGTTACTGTTCAGCTGATGGAGATCCCGAGATGATATCTCAGCACTCATAAAACAGAGGATTCAAAACCCAGGGGTGTACACGGAAGTACAGAGCATTAGGACAGTCCTGGAAGTTATCCACAAGGAACGTTAACACCCTGGAGGCCAAAATAACATGACCGAATCAACATTTACAATTCTTGTTCAAGATTCAATCCAATATGTGGGGAAAATTTACCTGGAAACATTCATGCTAATCTCATGATCATTTTCTATTTGGCTCATTCCAAAAATATGGAAGACTTCAAAAATCTCTGGGATCTCTTTTCTTAAACATTTTCAGTGCGTATTTATTCTGTACAAAGCAAAATGACTATGCTGAATTAGCTATTTCCTAGAAGTATTCCTAAAATGTCAATCCATTTAGTAAAGCACAGTAACAGAAACATAGAGCTTTCTTTAAGGTTGCACATTTCAATTCAGAAGGATGAGGGGGAAATTTTGGCCCCTGGGATTTGAAAATATCTTCCAGTTGTAATCTTTGGTATGGATATTTACATGGTGTTCTCTTCCCATTCAAGCTCAACATCACCTTCCATAGCATCCCAAGAGTCCATCTTCTGAAGTGCTGAATAGTTAACAAAACAGATGGGCTGATTACTTCCTTTACTTGATAAGAGATCCAGCATGCATTGGTATAAAAAGATATACTGTGCCAGGTTCTGGACCATGCACATTCTTTCATTTCTCAATTCAGCTACTAATCCATATATATCCACAAAATCGTGGTCATTTATATGTTGTGTTAAGTGGTCCAGAGCAATAAAAACCAGTTCTTCCAACTCCAGCACTGCAGTGAACAATCATGGGTGTGGTGTCATATGCTCTGCTTGCTCAGATCTGTTCTACAAAGTGAACTAGAGGGGCACTGTTTTCCGGGACCCCATGCTCAGGCCAAGCAGTAAAGTTACACTGTCGAATAGTCATGTAATCTCCATGCCTTTCAATTTTCAGATCCCTGATTGTCCAATCTATTTGAACATCCTCCATTAGCTTCGTAATCACTCTATCTCCAAAGACGGTAACTGGTTTGTTGTCCTCTGGCCAATACTGATAGCATCTGATCCGCCCTTTTTCAAAACACTGCGTTAGCATTACTGATGTTTTCGTTCTGGTTTCCCACACCATTCTCCAGAAATCCCCAGTAGTTCCTGGTAATGGACCTCGAGTGGCAATAAATTCATTTGGACATAAGTAGCCCTCCCATTATAGTTCTCCTCCCTTCTTCCTCTAGCACCCTGAGATGTTCCATTTGTAGATGGCCTCTGTCTTTTTCTCCTGGAACAAGTGTTCATGAACTTTCAGATGAAGGTGCCATGGAACAAAACTGGGAAGGCAGAGGAAATTGATGCATCAGACTTTTCTTTTTTCTTTTTTTAATTACTATGTTATGCTAATCACCGTACATTACATCATTAGTTTTTGATGTAGTGTTCCATGATTCATTGTTTGCATATAACACCCGGTGCTCCATGCCGAACGTGCCCTCTTTAATACCCATCACCAGGCTAACCCATCCTTCCACCCCGCTTCCCTCTAGAACCCTCAGTTTGTTTTTCAGAGTCCATTGTCTCTCATGGTTCATCTCCCCCTCCAATTTCCCCCCCTTCATTTTTCCCCTCCTGCTATCTTTTTTTTTTTTTAACATATAATATATTATTTGTTTCAGAGGTACAGATCTGTGATTCAACAGTCTTGCACAATTCACAGTGCTCACCATAGCACATACCCTCCCCAATGTCTATCACCCAGCCACCCCATCCCTCCCACCCCCACCACTCCAGCAACCCTCAGTTTGTTTCCTGAGATTAAGAATTCCTCATATCAGTGAGGTCATATGATACATGTCTTTCTCTGATTGACTTATTTCGCTCAGCATAATACCCTCCAGTTCCATCCACATCATTGCAAATGGCAAGATTTCATTCCTTTTGATGGCTGCGTAATATTCCATTGTATATATATACACCACATTTTCTTTATCCATTCATCTGTCAATGGACATCTTACCTCTTTCCACAGTTTGGCTATTGTGGACATTGCTGCTATAAACATTGGGGTGCATGTACCCCTTCGGATCCCTACATTTGTATCTTTGGAGTAAATACCCAGTAGTGCAATTGCTGGATCATATGGTAACTCTATTTTCAACTTTTTGAAGAACGTCCATACTGTTTCCCAGAGTGGCTGCAGCAGCTTGCATTCCCACCAACAGTGTAGGAGGGTTCCCCTTTCTCCACATCCCGACCAGCATCTTTCATTTCCTGACTTGTTAATTTTAGCTATTCTGACTGGTGTAAGGTGATATCTCATTGAGGTTTTGATTTGGATTTCCCTGATGCCGAGCAATGTGAGCACTTTTTCATGTGTCTGTTGGCCATTTGGATGTCTTCTTTGGAAAAATGTCTGTTCATGTCTTCTGCCCATTTCTTGACTGGATCATTTGTTCTTTGGGTGTTGAGTTTAAGAAGTTCTTTATAGATTTTGGATACTAGCCCTTTATCTGATATGTCATTTGCAAATATCTTCTCTCATTCTGTCGGTTGTCTTTTGGTTTTGTTGACTGTTTCTTTTGCTGTGCAAAAGCTTTTTATCTTGATGAAGTCCCAATAGTTCCTTTTTGCCCTTGCTTCCCTTGCCTTTGGCGATGTTTCTAGGAAGAAGTTGCTGTGGCTGAGGTCAAAGAGGTTGCTGCCTGTGTTCTCCTTTAGGGTTTTGATGGACTCCTGTCTCACATTTAGGTCTTTCAACCATTTTGAGTCTATTTGCGTGTGTGGTGTAAGGAAGTGGTCCAGTTTCATTCTTCTGCATGTGGCTGTCCAATTTTCCCAACACCGTTTTTGAAGACACTGTCTTTTTTCCATTGGACATTCTTTCCTGCTTTGTCAAAGATTAGTTGACCATAGTGTTGAGGGTCCATTTCTGGGCTCTCTATTCTGTTCCATTGATCTATGTGTCTGTTTTTGTGCCAGTACCATACTGTCTTGATGATGACAGCTTTGTAATAGAGCTTAACGTCCGGAATTGTGATGCCGCCAGCTTTGCTTTTCTTTTTCAACATTCCTCTGGCTATTCGGGGTCTTTTCTGGTTCCATACAAATTTTAGGATTATTTGTTCCATTTCTTTGAAAAAAGTTGATGGTATTTTGATGGGGATTGCATTGAATGTGTAGATTGCTCTAGGTAGCATTGACATCTTGACAATATTTGTTCTTTCAGTCCATGAGCATGGAATGTTTTTCCATTTCTTTGTGTCTTCCTCAATTTCTTTCATGAGTATTCTATTGTTTTCTGAGTACAGATCCTTTGCCTCTTTCGTTAGATTTATTCCTAGATATCTTTTGGTTTTGGGTGCAACTGTAAATGGGATCAACTCCTTAATTTCTCTTTCTTCTGTCTTGTTGTTGGTGTATAGGAATGCCACTGATTTCTGTGCATTGATTTTATATCCTGCCACTTTACTGAATTCCTGTATGAGTTCTAGCAGTTTTGGGGTAGAGTCTTTTGGGTTTTCCACATAAAGTATCATATCATCTGCAAACATGAGAGTTTGACTTCTTCTTTGCCGGTTTGGATGCCCTTTATTTCTTTCTGTTGTCTGATTGCTGTGGCTAGGACTTCTAATACTCTGTTGAACAGCAGTGGTGATAGTGGACATCCCTGCCATGTTCCTGACCTTAGGAGGAAAGCTCTCAGTTTTTCCCCATTGAGAATGATATTCACTGTGGGTTTTTCATAGATGGCTTTTATGATATTGAGGTATGTAACCTCTATCCCTATACTCTGAAG